AAAAGTCAACCAGAGTTGGGCCCACAAGATAGTGTCACGTAGGCAAAAAAGAGGTAGAAAATTATTAATAAAATAAGTTCAGTGGGGTAATAGGACCTTAATATAGTATAAGTGTGTCTCAAAGATTTCGGGCATTGGTTGAGGGGGGGTACTTGTGCATTATTTCAAAAGAAATTAATCAAAGCATTAGTTTGTGACGAAATTATATTTATTTAACCACGAAATACATATAATTTTAGAGACAATTGGTACCGTCATTGATTGAACAAAATAATTAGTGACGAAATACTTTTGTCGGTGTTAATAACTTTTTTAGTGACAAAATCATTCCATTAACTAAAAAAATTTTATTACTTTTTTTAACAAATAAATTCGTCACAAATGTTTATACATTTCTATGCGGTTTTTTCTTTTGTAGTTGATATAGCTTTTTTAGCGACGAACTACTAAATCATCTTAGTATACTTTTAGTAACACACGTTTAGTGACGACTGAATGACGAATTTTTTTTCGTCACACAAAATTTTTAGTGAAGAAATATGATTTATAAGTAATGAAGTCATTTGTCGTTATAATTGAATTTGTTGTATGATAGTTTTTAATATCAAAATTTTTGGTTTAAAATATCGTATTGTTGTTATCAATTTTAATTTTAAAAATTAGTCAATTTAACTATCGAAATCACATTATGACAATTAAAAGTGAATGGATAAATAATATACATATAACATGTCAATCATTGATTTGACTTACTTATTTTATCTCAAGTACATCAAAATTGATGATGTAAATAAAGAGTTAATATCTCAAAAAATTACTCAATTTTAAAAATTTATCTAAAAACATCACTAAATTTTATTTTAAATCAATAAAATCACTCGGCTTATGTACTTATATCAACAAAATCAACAAACTAAATGTATCATTAAAAATAAACTAACATGGCAAAATAAATTATTTTAATACCATGTAAACCTAAATTCCATAAGAAATTTTACCGCCAAACTTAAGGGACCCCAAACTTAATTAGTGAAATAAATTGATGTCATTATGGAATTTTCTGCTCTACAATTATCATTTCCAGCTGAAAAAGTTGTATTATATTCCAAAAATTTAAGGATTTCACAAATTTTCATAGAGAAAGCATTAGAAACGAAAAAAGATTAAAGTTCTACACTTGTTTACTTTTTTCGTTCGGCTTTATTTTTATTATTTCTATTTTTAGGATTAAATTATAAAAATTTTGACTAACATTTTAAGATGTATTTTTTCATCATATTAATATGCAAAAAATTGTAATTTACAGTATTTTTCATATAATTTTAGAATATCTAATTTTTGGGGGGAAAATGTACAAGTACCCTCTTAATCTATGCCCGAAATTTCAGACAAATACTTATACTATATTAAGATCCTATTATCCCTGATTTTACTTTATAAGTAATTTTCTATCCATTTGCGGCCTATGTGGCACTAGTTTTTAAAAAGAAAAAGTCAATTGACGTTGGCCCACAAGATAGTGCCACGTAGGCCCAAAAGAGGTAGAAAATTATTAATAAAATAAGTTCCGGGACTAATAGGATCTTAGTATAGTATAAGTGAGTCTCTAAGATTTCGGACATAGGTTGAGGTGGTACTTGTGCATTATCTCAGTTTTCTATTTAAAATATTGAATTAATGTGATCTAATTTACCTTTGAAAATTAGTCAAATTAACTTTCGATAAGTGCAAGATAACAAACAATTCCAAATGGAGGAATTTTATTTTTTTTCTTGGAATTTGATAAGAGTATCTGTGTATTTATTTTTATCGTAGTATCTTAAGGTTATTTGTTTAACTAATTAACTTTGTCAGTAAAAATAATTTTAATGAATTTTTAAATTCTATTTATCAGTGGGATTCATGTTTATCCATTGTAAAAATAATTTATTTTGTCATAGTTTTTAATATAGTTACAAAATAAATTTTAATGACTTTACTAGATAATTCATAAGGTTGAGTGTCTTTTTAAGATATATATATCTACTTTTTATTAGTTTTTCTGTTTGCTAATATTTGTCATGATTTCTACTTTTAGAGTCAAACTATAAGAACTTTGACTAACATTTTAAGATATATTTTTTCATTATATTTATGTGCAATAAATTGCAATTTATAATACTTTTCATATAGTTTTTGAATATTTAAATTTTTTAATTAACATATCGAATTAATATAATCTAATTTAACTTTGAAAATTAGTCAAATTAACTTTTAAAAAGCGTAATATGACAAATAAAAGTAGACACTGAAAATATTTAAAAATATTTAACTTCAAAATTTTAGTTATAGTTATTCAGGAATTTAACTTTTCTTATTTTAAGAAATTGTTTTCAATGTCATATAAAAATTGAAGCTGTAGCCAAAATAATTAATCTCCCCTCAAAACCAAGCAATTAAAATTATCTTATAAATCACAGTCAAAAAGAGTACGATAAATATCCAATTAAGAAACACATGAAAAATATAAATTCACTGTATATGATATATATACATGTGTCTTTAATGATCCTCTTTGTTTTTCTCTAAACTTAACTTTTTAGTTTTTTGAGATTCAATATTTATGTCATAATCCACACAACCATAACAAATGTATTTAGCTAGTATAAATTTATGTCATATATTAAAATGAATTTGATTTTATGGATTTAAGCATCTCATATGACAAGATTAAAAACTTTAATTTAAAACATTAGAATAAAAAATATTTATTTTTGTGAATTGGATGTATATTAATAATACAAATAACCATTTGTAAAAAAAGATAAATCTCTAATTAAAGCTAAAGCCATATTCACGATTCTTAATATTGTACGTTGAGCAATAAGCAATGGGAACAGCAAACGCACTCTCTAAATTAGTTCATCTAGTCCTACACTATTACCAAAAACAAAACTCTTCTTTTTCTTAAAATTTCAATTAATACTAATTAATGAACTATAGTTTTGATTTCTTAAAGGTTTCATCTTTTATTGTCTATAAATAACATGTTTTTTCTTAATAACTTAAATTACTTCTTTTTTTCTCTTCTTTTTTAACTAGACATCACTCTCCAATCAGTGATGGCTCGTTTTGCAATATTTATGCTTTTGGTTACTATGTTAGTTTGTGTTGCACCATGTTTTGAAGCAAGAACACAATTGAACAACATGGATAAGGAGGTCACTAACCTTGCTTCTTCGGCCCCATACAAAGAAGGTCATATTTATGGCAACTTAAATACTGGACCTAGTCCTGGAGTCGGACATTTTGGCCCACCTCCTAGAATTGGTCATGTTTATGGAAATTTGAATACTGGACCTAGTCCTGGAGAAGGACATTCTGGCCCACCTCCTAAAATTGGTAATGTTTATGGAAACTTGAATACTGGACCTAGTCCTGGAGAAGGACATTCTGGCCCACCTCCTAAAATTGGTAATGTTTATGGAAACTT